AATTTCCCGGTGGCTCAATCGCTAATCCCGCAATCAAATAAAACATAGTGAAAAACATACACAAAGGGATAAATGTAATTAGCATCTATTCATTACAAAACAAATAGAGAGAGAATTTCAATTCTGAAGTGACAAATAATGTTTCAAAACACATAATAAACAGTTTCTTTAAATTGGGGGTTTTTGACGATTTTGATGATACAGCAGTTGCAGCCACAGCCCACCCCCATCCCCACAAAAAAAGAAAAAAAAACTGACCTCAACAAAACATGAGCGACCCATGTGGGAGGATTTGATATCCACATCCATTAACAATCTTATCAGCTCTATTCTATATGTTCTTGTAATCATCATCTTCTTTACCAGTGTGTTGACCAGCCATCCGTATGAGCTACTCCAAGTATTCAATTTTTCATCATTTGAGGAAACCAGGAACTTGGTTGCACCGTATTCAGATGCCTACCTAATAATCATACAACAATTTTTTTTTATAACGTATTCCAGGAATGAAAATGAACAAACATTACAGGTTATCAAGCCAAAGAAGCAATGATTTTGACTCTATAGTGTATCACGCAGATAATTTTGAGGGACGGGGGGGCATATCCAAGAAGATCCATTCAGAATTAGTTCACTGTTACAAACCTCAGAGAAAGCCTCCCTCCGACCATGTACCACCACCAGCACCTGCTTTTCCATTTTGACCGACAGTTTTCCGATCAGACGCTTGATAGTAGTTATCATACCCATCATCTTTCTGGTCATCCCAACCAGCCCAGTCCTCATTATTGTTATTGTTGTTGTTGTTGTTGTTATTATTATGGGATCCGGTTCCTTTAGTTGTCTCCTCTTTTCTGCTGTCTTTGGTATCCCAATCGTCCCACGAACTTGAGCTGTAAGAATTTTGTTGAACGCTTCCTGATGACTGCCCTGTTCCAGAAGTAGGATTCCAGCCTTTGTTGTCCTGGTCGAATTCTTGATAGTATCCATTTTTCTCATTTTCGTTCCGCTGCCAGTTATCATTCTTCCAGTTCATGCCATCTTTGGTGTACTCTTCAACCTTCTGTGTAGCCATTGCCATTACACCTCTCATAATTCCCCATGTCCTTTGCCCAATTTCTGTTGTTTTTGCCGTGACGACATTGACAGTTTCATTTACTTTGTAATCATAGCCACCCTCCTTCACCTGTAAAGATAATTTACAAATGTACATTTGGGGGAATAACAATTTCAGTACCAAACTAAAGTCAGCTCCCATTGGAATCATGCAACGAATCACTATCTAAAGGCTGCCAAAAATGCAATAACAATCAGAAGCAAAGTAATTACAAAAATGTTATCACCATACCAAGATGCAATTGAAGAGTTTTTAAAGCCAAGTAAATACCAAAACTAACAAAGGTAAAATGAGCCATGTTAGCACATAATAACACTAATATGTATTTGTAGAGTGAATCATAAAACATGGATAAGATCTTTCCAAAAGCAAGAGAAGACATTAATAAAATAATTCATGATATTTCATATTAAGTACCAGCAGCACTAAAACTCTTGTAATTGGCAATAACATCAATCTTATTTGTGACAAGATGCAAAATTCTAACACCTAGGTGCAATGTAAATACCTTGGTAGTCAGCTCTTTTGTGCCTGCTTGAACAGCATTTGCTGCCGTCTGAGCCGCAGATGCAGCAACCAGAGATAATTTACCAAAGCCCTGACATGAAAACAGGCATCAATTGATCAAAGCTCAGATGACAAAATCATTACTAAAGTATGAAAAACAGACCATGATGACATTACACAACACTGCATTACCTGAGAAACAACAGAGAAAACATCGCTTTGCGGATCATTCCTTCGCGTAGGCGGAGGACTCGACCCAAATCCAACATATTTTCCTCCTTGTGATGGTGGAATTCCTTCAGGCCGAGATTCATTCTCAGCCAGTTTACGCGCGAAAAAATTATCCTTATTTGCAGCAGAGGCCTCCAATTGAGTCCGGGTATAGATATCCTCGGTCGATCTAGACCTGGACGGCATGCCTCCGCCGCCCACGCCTCGAACATCACCGGTCGATTGGTTTCGCCTCAAATCATTTGAAGAAGATCTAAAATTATCGTCGTTATCCCAACTATCCCAACCTCCATTATTCACCTTACTCCCTCCACCAGCACTTTGTGCTAATGGAGGCTTCGATTTTCCTGCTCCGATGTTCTCCTTCACCGCCGGCGGATCCTTCCAAGATCGGCCCTCGGCCAGGGCCTGAATTCGATCCCTATAAACGCCAGCCGCATTAGTATTGTATTTTGTTACAATATCAGTCTCCTTAGGTATCCCGTATTTCGCAAGGAAGGCGTTGAGCTGGTCGTTACCACCAGCCTCCATCTTCTTGATCTGGATCTCGGACCAAGAATCCATCGTAACGGATCTAACAAACGAGATGTGGACACCGAGGCCACGGTGCTTCCCCGAGCATTCTAAACACATGAACACGCCATAGGAAACCGAAGCCCATTGCGGATTCTTCTGCGAGCAATCAACGCAGATCTTATTGCCCGGCCGCGATTGAAGGTCCCGAAGCCGCCGTGACGCCGCCATTCAGATCAGATCCAATTGATCGGAAACCGAAATCGAACTCAACGAATCAAATCCCAAAAAAAAAAAGGATAAAATCGAATGCTGCAGATGGGAAAAACACAAGGCAAAATCCACCAAAAACGAAAACCTCACAATCTGAAAAAAAAAAAATTTTGAAAGAATAATGTAAGATGAAAAGCGACGGAGGGGCGCCGATTAGGGCGCAACCTTAAATTGTAATCGATTTCTTCGTCTGTTCCTGTTTCGGCGAGAGACCGACACCCTCACAAATCGTCGAAATCTCCTCCTTTTTAGCGTTCCGTTCACACGAAAAAAGGAAGGGGGGGAGAGAGAGCGAGAGCCTCAACTCGCACTCGCAGACGCAGTATAAATTAAAATAACTTTCCATTTATATTAATATTTCACTTCCGGATTATTTTTTATTGCCTAACCTAACATAACCTTTTTCTTAATATTATTTTATTTTAGTCCTCCTCCTTTCAATATATTTAAATTTGTTCATTTTAATTTCAAAGCATCTGCTTCAAATTTTTAAAAATTATTATTTTAATCCCTTTATTTTTTATTTTTATCTCATTTATTTTCCACATAATTTCAACATGATATATTTTTTAAACTTAGTTAAAATTAAAAATAGAGGTACCAAAATAACTTAAATCTAAGGGCTAAAATAATATTTTTTTTTATAACAAAATATGAGTGAATGGATTTATCGGTATTTTAAATTCAACCATCGGTATCACTAACAAATCCCGTAACATGAGGGTTAGTTTTATTTATTTATTTATTTCTTTCTTGTTTTGTTTGTTTGTATTTTCTTTAAAAGCTCCCAACCAATAAAGGAGGGAGTTTCTTGTTACGGTCAATTCCAAATTTCGTTATTAATTTATCGACAAAAGGTACTAAATAATTTCAATTTTTATGAATTTAAATTAAATTAAATATATTATAAAAAAACAAATTTCAAACGACTAACTTGTGAAATTATTAGTATAACAAATTAGAGGTACGGAAGTTTGAACCTCTAATCTCAATGGAATTCAGGTGGACTCTAATTAAATTTTTTCCCCATGAATATGATAACTAATTACATTTTGCCTTTATCTATGTACATTAATACAAAATGAGCTTCTTTCATTTTCTAGATGGGCTTTCAATGCTTCGGCTTCAGTTTGGGTTGAAAATTTTCTCCGTGGTTAATGTCTCGTGGGCTTAGCCAGAGCCCATGCCTAACAATATTTAGTTGAGCTATATGGGCCTGGGCCCATGAACCAACTAATGGGCTGACTAACCAGGCAGCTCACTCTTGGGCTTTTTGCCTCGATCCAAAACAAGAACAATAGAAATTTCAATGGATTATTAATATGAAAAGGCATAAGCCGAATGTATTATTTCCATATTAAAGAAAACAATAAAGTCTGAACTGGAAAATAGAAGTTGATAGAGGTTTGTCATATGCTGATATTATTATGAAAAGTACTAAAGTTTAATTTTTAATAATATGTAAGTCAGCGATAATTGACATATATTTCCAATCAAGACGTTGTAAGTTCGATCTTCCAACACACGTGTTGTATAAAAAAACTAATATGTAATGATCGATAATATATCTCTTAATCAATTGAATTATATTAAGTTTGACAAAATAAATTAATTTAAGTTTGCAAAACTTACTTGATTTACTAATAATTAATAATTCAAAAGATTATATATTTTTTTCTTTTACATTCTAATAATTATATACGTCTAAAAACTCTTGACAAGAATTTGTGCAATCTTACAAAATGCGACAATAAACTATTTCTTACATAGATAATTTTATATAAATTCATTTTTTAAGGAGACGACTCATGCTCGTTAAAAATTCTCAGCAAAATGTTATTATATGGAAAAGTCATATCAGCCTTTCAAAAACAATTTTTTATACTACTTCCTAGGTAAAAATCATTTTTTCCAATTAAAAAAAAAGTCCAAGTTGTCTTTTTAAAATATTATTTATTATAAATGAAATCAAACCTCTTTTTAAAGATTATTTAAGGGGAAAAAAATAACACATTAGATATGTATCTTAAAAAAAAAAATAGAAAAGCAATTTATTACTAGACTAAATAATTGAATCATGAATGAGGTTCAACTACTTTCATGACCCGTGGCTTGTGAGTCATTCAAGCGAATTGATGGAAAATTCAAATAATTCGTTTTAATGGTTAACAATAAAAACCCAAGAGGAAAAATATATATACATACCTATATAATACTAATTAATATGTTTCTTTTTATTTTATCGAAATATTCTAGAGATCAATGGTTCATTTATATGGTTTAAAAAAAAAGGTTTATTTATATCATCTATGTCTTGGAAGAACCTTAATTTGAACAAAATTACCCTTAATTTTTTAATAAATACCATTTGAGTGGATTGATGACAAGTTTTAAAATCTATTGGTTTTGTTTTAAATACCATTTATCATTATTAATAGTGTTTAATTATAGAATATTAAAAAGTTGTAAAATATCAAATTTTGCAACATTTTCTTTTTTCCCAACTATAAAATAATCTCTTCTACTTATTCCAACAACAATTTGAGGTACATTCATCTCTCACATTTTATTTATTTATTTTTATTTTTTTAGTACCTGTTTATTTTTTATTTTGTATATTTTTAAGGTTTCTATATTAGTATGGTAGATCATATTCAATTTTTTATGAGTAGTATTGTTTAGTGGTATTGAATATTGGTGAAAGGTAAATATATATACACATAATTCATTAACGAAAACCATTCATCATTTTTATATATTCAAAAATTTGTTTAGTGGAAACTTTTTTAAAAGCAATGTCAATAATCTTAGTTTTCTTTTTATATATAATAAACATGACATTAGCGTTTTTTTAACAATTAATATATAAAGAAAAAGAATGCGAATATAAATATTGATAGATTAAATAATTAATGTTTATGAAAGGCATGTTTATTTTAAGTTATAGAGCAATAATGTTTTTAAAGCTCTTAACATTTTTTTTTTATTTTAACTTACCTATGCATGTTAATTTGAGTAACTGAGACTATTTTTTTTTAGGAGGGAGTACTAATTGATTAATGGAGAGTAATAAAACAAAATACATAAATAAAAATCATCCGAAACATAATGTTTAAATTGTCTTTATTAAATAATTAATAATATTTTGGTTTAGTTTTTACTTTTTAAAAATACCATTGGATCATTAAGTCAAAATGCAAAAAATAGATTTTCAAAACCCATTATTTTTAGTATTGAAAATTTTATTTAAATTTTGATATTTTGAGGTAGAATAAATAATTATTAGCTAATATAATTTACAGTGACAATCAATGATAGTGATAGTGAATTTGAAATGATTTTAAGGAAATGAATTTTTAAAGACACATATCTCCAATTGATAGTTTTAAATATCCGTCAACACGTCGACATTTCTATCGATATGTCCATGTTTTCATAGGTTCGACATTGACATGAGGGGTAAATTATCATTTCTATCATAATAAAAAAAATTGACAAAATATGAAAAATATCAAAACAATGTCACTAATATATACATAATATTAATATTAATTGTTTTTAACTTATTTTGAAATAAGAAAATGTTTATTTGTTAATTTAAATATTTTTTACAACTTTTTAATTTCTCTAACTTTTTCAGAAATATTCATTGACATCAACATTTTATCGATACTTCTATGAAATTGAGACTTCGACATTTTCATCGACATCGATATTTAAAACCTTGCTCCAATTAAAAGATCGTGCTCAACTTACCACTCTCACATATGGTATTCAAAAGAGTGGAAAAAAAAACTTTTTAAACAATAAAAATACTTTTCAAAATTTCTATAATATTTAGTTAGATAAAAAAACCATTTTCAAAATTTTTAAAAATATTGTAAGAGAATCGCTTAATTAATGTTTCTTCCCAAAAATAGCTTATAGAATAAGCGGGTATTTGGAGTGATCGTATGATAAGTGATTTTGAAAAAAGATAACAATAGGATAGGTATGATTGATTTTTCAAAATTAGCGTCCAAATGATACCTTAAAATCAATTTAAAGTACTTTTAAACTTTCTTAAGATCAATTTTTTAATTTGCCAAACATGATCAATGGAAAGATAAGTAATTTTGACAATAGCAAAAGTAATTTTGGTACTCCCAAACACACCCTAAGTTATTAAGCATCATCTTCAACTTAACTCGTTAAGGCACCTATATCCGACTAAAAAATCAAGAGTTCGAATTTCACCCCAACATGTCATTATCTTAAAAAAAAAAAAAAATCACTTGAAAACCTAATAGAAGCATATACTCTTTCTTAAAGGTTGGAGGTTCAATTCTCCACCTCTATCCTATCGTTATGTCACTTAAAAAGCATTCTTTTCAAAACTCTATCCCTAACTTTAAATCTAACGCATCTCACTAATGTGCTATTTCACGATGCGCGAATAAAAGTATTGAAAAGTAGTTATGAAAGGGTCAAAAGCACCTCCCCATGAAGTCATTTTCAAAGTCTCTAATAAAAGTGTTCCGACATCATTTCAGTTATGATATTATTTATAGGAAAGAGACGCATGAACCCAATGGCATAGGGAAATTGGTCCTCCCATTAAGTATAACGTGAAGCCCATATTTTGCACTTAATTCTTGTTAAGTCTATGTGTGTCATTTCTCTAATTCTGCGAATCAAGACACATGCAGGTTATGGGTGTCCGGAGTCTTTTCTTTTTCTGGGTAGGTTCTCAGCGTACATCTGACTTATTTTCATGATCAAACATCTCGCAATCTACGAATCAGGACGTATGAAGTAGTGGATCAATTTTCCATTCAATGGATAGATATGTCTATTTTATTGGGTTTGTAAGGAATGCAAACAAAGTCTCACATTAGCTAAGGGAGAGAATGGTCATGGGTATATAAGAGAGGACAATTATCTCCATTGGTGTGAGGTCTGTTGGGTGAAACCAAAAGCAAAGTCGTGAGGTCTATGCCCAAAACGGACAATATCATATCATTGTGGAGATACCGGGATACAAGAAGTACCATTGTCCTTAACAAGTAGTATTGGTGTGAGACCTTTTGGGTGAAATCAAAAGCAAAATCGTGAGGGATATGCCCAAAACGGACAATATCATACCATTGTGGAGATACTTGAGATATCGTTATCCTTAACATATTCCCTTTTGTAAAGTTAAAGAAATATGATATTTCCAACTTAATTAATAAAAGTAGAATATATAAAAATCACATCGTGTAATTTACATTTTATAGTATTGAAGGGAAAAAAATAATATGAATTTTCGAATTGGAAAATATGGGCAA